ATTATATCTGGTGAGTGGTTAAAGAAATACAAATGATATTTTGTGTACGGATATACTATGGTTTTACCTATCTTTTGGTGCCTTATGCAAATTTTTACCACTTATAGGGAACGTCCTGTGGAGGATGCAGTAATAAGTTTAAATGGAAGCCTATGGTAAATGATACATCATTTTAAAGGCCATTTTTTTTATGAGTAAGGAGCCACAAGTTTCATCTCAAAAGGACCACCCTAGCAAAAATGACGACTGTTTGAAATTTAAATAACCACTTATAGGGAACGTTCTGTGGAGGATGCAGTAAAAAGTTTTCATTGAAGCCTATGGTAAATGATACATCATTTTAAAGGCCATTTTTTTCTGAGTAAGGAGCCACAAGTTTCATCTCAAAAGGACCACCCTAGCGAAAATGGCGACTGTTTGAAATTTAAAAATTCCGTTCCCTATAAGTGGTTTTTTAAATTTCAAACAGTCGCCATTTTTGCTAGGGTGGTCCTTTTGAGATGAAACTTGTGGCTCCTTACTCAGAAAAAAATGGCCTTTAAAATGATGTATCATTTACCATAGGCTTCCATTAAAACTTTTTACTGCATCCTCCACAGGACGTTCCCTATAAGTGGTAAAAATTTTCATAAGGCGCTAAAAGATAGGTAAAACCATAGTATATCCGTACACAAAATATCAGTTGTTTTTCTTTAACCACTCACGAGATATAATGTTGGTTCCAGTTCCAGACATTTTCAACACCCTGTATTTAAAGAAACGACAAAGTAGACGACCAAAGTTAAAGCACAGATAATTATATTACTTCATCTATGGTTTAAGGTAGATAATCTACCTTAAACGATAGAATATGTGATGATGAAGATATCCCCTCTCGTCCCCCCTCTCTTTTTACTGTAAGCTACACACGCACCCGCGCGATCGAGTACTTCCGGCGCGGCTGCTACAGGTGGTCACTCAGTCACCCGCACCGCACTCCCGCGACAGAACTACTTACTGTACGTTCCATATATTGATGGCTACACGTCATAGCTGCTTTGCTAGATAAGCGACAGCGCTACTGTGCATTCCAAATCTTGATAGTACAGGTACTCCCCGTGTTGCTTTGCAAGATAATTGGGGTCACCGGAAGACTGAAAAGTGAAAACTGCCCTCCGGACAACTACCCCCCAAGCAGGTCCTACGTCATGTTGATGTCAGAGATCGAGGGGGGGGGCAGTTTTCCTGTCTCGGACACTCAAGTTTCGTTGTCATACTGTTCTAAACTAACCTAACCTAACCAACCAAACTTGCTGTAACATTCCAATATTCTGTATGATATTCCCCACATACCTTTTCTGTTATCAAAAGGAAGAACTTGAATTAAAATTACAATTACATAGCATTACATTTTGCTATGGGGGTAGTATTCCTCCTGGGGGGGGTGGTTTTCCGGGGGTTGCTATTCCGCATCCCCGATGATTGACCACACACTATTGTGGGTTCTATTACATCTTGATACCCACATCTATTCGCCGCTTTGCTAGATATGTAACCACACTACTGTGTGTTCCACATCTTGATACCCACATCTATTCGCCGCTTTGCTAGATATGTAAACACACTACTGTGTGTTCCACATCTTGATGCCCAAATCTACTTGCCGCTTTGCTAGATATGTGACCGGACTACAGTGTGTTCTATATCTTGATGCCCACATCTACTCGTCGCTTTGCTAGTTATGTGACCGCAATACTGTGTGTTCTATATCTTGATCCCCACATATACTCGCCGCTTTGCTAGTTATGTGACCTCAATACTGTATGTTCTATATCTTGATGCCCAAATCTACTCGTCGCTTTGCTAGTTATGTGACCGCAATACTGTGTGTTCTATATCTTGATCCCCACATATACTCGCCGCTTTGCTAGTTATGTGACCTCAATACTGTATGTTCTATATCTTGATGCCCAAATCTACTTGCCGCTTTGCTAGATATGTGACCGGACTACAGTGTGTTCTATATCTTGATGCCCACATCTACTCGTCGCTTTGCTAGTTATGTGACCGCAATACTGTGTGTTCTATATCTTGATCCCCACATATACTCGCCGCTTTGCTAGTTATGTGACCTCAATACTGTATGTTCTATATCTTGATGCCCAAATCTACTTGCCGCTTTGCTAGATATGTGACCGCAATACTGAGTGTTCCACATCTTGATGCCCACATCTACTCTCTGCTTTGCTAGATTTGTGACCGTACTACTGTGTGTTTTACATCTAGATGCCTACACTCATCTGCTGCTTTGCTAGATAAACAACAGCACTACTGTGCGTTCAACATCTATCTAGAGGCTTACACTTATCCGCAACTTTGCTAGATAATCAACAGCACTCCTGTGCGTTCAATGTCTACATTTTTACACTTATCCGCTGCTTTGCTAGATAAGCAACAGTACTACTGTGCGTTCAAAATCTAGATGCTTACACTTATCTGCTGCTTCGCTAGATAAGCAACAGCACTACTAGGTGCGTTCAACATCTATTGCTTACAATTATCTGCTGCTTTGCTAGATCAGCAACAGCACTACTGTGCGTTCAACATCTAGATGGCTACACTAATCCGCTGCTTTGCTAGATAATAACAGCACTACTTTGCTTTATATATTTAGATGCATACACCACTTTGTTTGATGAATTGCAGTGCCAGTAAATCTGCGCATTCCACATTTTAAATACGGCTTCAATCCGCAACACTCCAGGACACACGACACCTTTTTCGCGTGTTCCACATTCATTATGCCAACTCAGCTAACAACAACTTCTGCTGATTGTTTTCCCATGTTATACTGATTACATTAACCCTGCATCTGGCAGCTTCAATTCTCTGTACTGGCTGACCATTTATTACTGTACGTACATAGGTTATTTAAGAGCTGTATAAATTGTGTTCTACCATTTATTCTTCACTACATAATCAACACAAGGCTTCCAAAAATAGTACCGACAATTACTTATACAGTTATTTAATATTAAACAATACCCCCGCCGCAGCAAACCTGCCGACTAAGCGAATTTCCATTTGTCTGAATTGATTTTCAGTTAAATATATTTTAATAACATTAGGTTTAACGAGTACCTAGGTTTGCTGCTACAAGGAAACTATAAAGTTTGTTTTTGAGTAAAATATTGATAGCTTAGTACAAAATAAATAAATTTGCCAAGTTTGATCAAAATATATCCATAAACAAGCAAACTACAACATTTGACAATATTCTCCATAAGAATAACATGGGAATTTTAAATTGAAAATTTTTTTAATTTTCTCCGTTACTAATAATCGAACAAAAATACTTTTATATACCAAATTATTTGTATTTTTAAGCTCTTTAAAAAGGTCTAAAGAGAAATCGGGAAATTTTGTGTTTTGAGGGTCAAAAGTGAGAAAAACCAATTTTTACCCCATAAAACCCCCTGTAAAGCCCCGATCCCATGGTCCGATCGTACTGGTTCGCGAACTCATTCAAGTTTATCCCGCTTTACACCTTTAAACCAAATTTCATCAAAATCGGACAAAAATTACTCAAGTTATCGCGTTCACGGACGTATATATATATATAAGTCTATATATATATATATACATATATAAAAATTTTAACGAATGGTGTTTTTGGCCTCTGGGGACATCAAAATGAAAAAGTAAATCGGTCCCGGGTCTAGGTCTTACCGTGCCACCTACGGTAATAGCTACTTCCCTATAGGGAAATTCGCTAAAAACAATTCAATGATATAAAATAGCCTACAGATTTCACATTTTCTAAACTTTATAAATAAGGCCACGATTGTTAGGAATATTCTGCCTCTGAAGCGGTTTTCAGGTTGAATGGTAGAGCATTAAACATTTTAAGTTCAGGATATAAATTGCAGTTAAATGTTAAATTTGGTTTTGGCACTATTGCATTAACTTATACATATTTCTTAACGCTACTTTTCTACCTGACACAATTTTAACCTGATTCACTCTTCTGTTATAAAGTATCAACAGAAGTTTATACATATTTTAATTTTTATAGAGTGGTGCTGTGGTGCTGCATATTTTGTTTTACATTTGTTCTTTTTATGCATGAAAATTAAATGGTTTAACTGAAATAAATAAGCACCTCCAATAGATACCTAAACCATATTCCAATCAAGAAAGCTGTAAATGGTGTGTAAAGTACATGTTGTAAAAATACTGTTGAATATATTCATGACACAAGAGTCATAGAGCATGTGTCAATGTTATATCAATCAGCCAGGTGTATGGTTGGGATACCACACTTGTCGTTGCTAACACTGCTGATCGCTTGACGCTTGTAATAACAAAATGTAAAGCTGTCAGTGGAAGTCGTCATCAATTTTGTTACTTTATTTGACAAGGCAATCTAGGATTGTTATTCTTAGTTGCAGTCAGTGTTGTAGTGGTAAACCTATTGTAGTGTTGTTTTGAACCATTGCAAATAGTGGAATCATAGATAAAAAATATGTGTTGCTTAGTCTATGGTGGAATAAAGATTTGCAAATAAGTACTATACCTAAAAACCACACTTTTAAGCAAATATAAATGTTTCCATCATACTGGGGGCATGGTCCACCAGAATTCAAAAGGGAAACGTAAATAAGAAGAGCGTTGGCGCTTAGTAAATCATATTGAAGGTCTCTATTAAGAGTACACAGTGCCGCAAACCCGACCTCAACACAGTCATCTCAGAAAAGTTATGGCAGTTAAAAATTTCACACTTTAGCTTGTTTATTGCCCTTTTCTGGAACTAGCCTAGTGAAAGTTTTATCAAACTAAGATATACCAAACAAATGCAAAGATTTTAAAATCCAAGTATATTTTTTTATCAGTGTTTGAACTGAAACAAGAGTGATTCGTTTTGATGAGATGTTGACGGGAGTTTCGCTCCTCTTCCAACAAACACCATTTACTTTGAAGAACTTATGCGTAAAGTGTAATATTTACAATTTTATTTTCAGGTATCAATGGCCCAGAGCCAGAACTTGTGTGCAGACATGAAGGGAACAGCAGTGTCTATAGCGGCACAGCAGGGACTGTACACCTCCTCTGAATCAATGGGATACTGCTCCGTGTCACAGAGTCAAAGTATCAGTCTGACACAGCGGCACAGGGCGGCCCAGGAGAAAATGATGCATCCGCAGGAGAAGATGATGCATCCACAGGAGAAAATGATGACCCCGCAGGAGAAGATGATGCATCAACAAGAGAAGATGATGCAACAGGAGAAGATGATGCATCAAGAAAAAATGATGCACCAGCAGGAGAAAATGATGCATCCTCAAATGATCCGCCTTCCACAGGTAATTTTTGTTGGTGAATTCCGTAATACTTGATCTTGGACATAACTGACTGCCAACAATTGCTTTTCACCTAATTAGTTTTTTTTTTTCAATTCCTGCTCCTACTTTAGTGGTGTACCTCATGCTTTTCCACTAATTTCAAATGTGTTTTCCTGGAGGTTTTTTCAGGGTTTAAGCTGGCATGAAATTTGTTAATGAAAAAGCTAAAAGTTATCTAACCAATTTTGCTCACTAACAAAAGTTAGATTAAACCTGGTCCCATAAACAGCTAAGCTATACATAAAGGGCTATGCTATCCACTTAGGCGTCGGCCCATAGGCTGTACAAGGGGATATCAATAGACAATCCAGAGAAGTAGGGATTGTTAAATTTAGACATTTTAAAATTAAAATCTTGATTCTTCATGATAAGCATGAAATTCAAGATCCATGGAGAGAAACCTAATTACGTGTTCAGTAATTGGTGTAACTGCCAGATATATTACCCTCCCTGGTAGATGAAGGCCCAAAGGAGGCTGAGTTTCCCCCATTGTGTCAAAAAGAGTCCATCCGGGCTTTGGTATTCCCAATATATCTATAAGATACTGATAAAAGCTTTAGTAACTTAAAAGAAGGAAGTTCTTTTACTTATGGTTTTGAGAAAGCTCTTGATAATAATTTCTCAATATCTGTCCATGTTACAGCAGCAGGTCAGGCCACCACCACCTGAATACAAGGTGTCTCAACATCACCCTGCCATGGTGCAGCACCAGAACTATCTGCCTCAGCAACGAGTCTCTCAGCAACCCTTGCCTCCTTCAGGTAAACTAACTGTCAACTGTTAATACATTAAGGTTAAAACTGAAATTTTGTAAATGAAAGACACCAGACTCTTGAACTACTTATTTGAACTAATAAGGACCGGACTCTGTTCGGATTACCAAATTGTTTGGAACAGCTCCTTGTTCCATTCAAAATTCATTTTCATTTTACAAACTTTTTCTCAGTGATCTGACAACCATTTCCTGGCTTTCCTATTGGCTGCACACCCTTGTAGGTATTTTAGAACACAAAGGTTATCTTTTCAATTTAGGCTAAACCTTTTCCCTCAACAGTTAGTTCAGATTAGCGGGTTTGGGATCACTGTGACTGTGGTATTATATATTTCTCTCGTTGGTCTAAACCTTGCATACTTATGTTGTTGATCTATTGTCAAGTAGGTCCCATGATGAGGCCAGGAGCAGGCGGAGGTGTAGTCAGTGGTGGCGGCTACATGGTGAGCAGTGGAGGGCCCCGCATGCAGTACAGCAGGCCCCAGAGGCCCATACACAGCGGGGGCCCTGAGTGGAGACATATGCTTCAACAGCACCAGCCGCAAAGACCTACCTTCCACCAAGGACAGGGTCAGTACAACCTCTTGGTTTAAAAAGTGTTATAGGTAATTGATTAATTGATAGTTAATTGATGGCTTGTGTTCTTGCTGTTTTCTATGCTCAAGGTGAGCGCAACTTGAACAATTCACAAAAGCTCTAAAACAAAAGTTCATCCAACAAATTTCACAATTATCAGACACTACTATTTTTAACTATGACATGATGTCATCCCTTTTTCTTTTTGAAATACTTAGATTTCTTCATAACTTCAGCAAATTTCTACAATGTGCTGTGATTTTCTACACTTTTTCTATAATATATTCTGAGATCAGTATCAATGTTGGTTGTTGGTTGACTTGAGTGTGTTTGTGCTGCAGGAGTGATGTTCAGCAGTGGAGATATGCAGATGGGAGCAGGACAGATGCAGCAAGTCTCACACCTAACTGCAGCTCAGCATCAGAGTCTGGCCATGCAGCACTCCTCTCCGCAGGTAATTGTGCCGTGACTGTTGAATATGTTCAATATTGATGTGACTGCAGAAGATACTTTATTTTGTCATGACCGGGGAAGATGTTCTTCGATACCCTTCAACCTCGGAAGATAATCTCTATTTTGTCGTGACTGGGGACGATATTCTTGATTTTGTTGTGACATGGGATGATTTCCCCACTACAAGGGAAAATTTTCTGGATTTCACCCTACTGGTGAAGATGTTCTCAATTGCACCATGACTTGGAAAGATGCGCTTGATCTGTGACTGCAGAAGATGTTCTAGATTTTCTGTGACTCCCCAGTCAATTATATGACTCCCGAGAAAAAGATATTAAAGTTTTCAGCTAGATGTCGGGGGATCATGTATAATGTTGTATGACTCAAATGAAATATTAGGATTTCCAAAGAAACCTGATTTTGGCATGAGAACTAAAGGCCAACATTTTGTACTCAAACAAAAGTTGTAACAAAAGTTACAAACAATGTAACAAAAGTTTGGCCCGCAGACCCCTAGTATAATTTATTAAGTATAAAGTCTTGTATAAAGACTTTCGATTACTCTGTAAATGGTGTTGAAAGTTTGTTTGATAAAAATTTGAGTTATGTAGGGACATTTTAACCAACTTGTCTTTCCCGCTGTGTATTATTGCTACACAGAGTGAAAATCACAACACTCTGTACTCCATATAACATGTTGCTTGTTTGTCTGCAGATGTCCGTCAACCTACAGATGCAGCAGAGCATGGCGGGGCTGAGGCAGCATCATCACCCCCACCCCCCCACCTCTCAGATGAGCTTCCCCACCCCCGCCACATCACAGTACAACAACCCGTACTCCTCCCTACCACTACAGCTACCCTCCACCAATGACTTCAACTTGGACTTCCTAGACCACGACCAAGACCTGCTCAGCTCACTGGAGTCAGGAGCTCCGTTCAACATCCACGACATCTTGTAAACAGTATTGACGTTAGCATTCCAATATGAGGTTTGATCAATAGTGATTGAAGCTAGGAAAAAGACTTAACTACATTCCAAAAGCGTAAAAATATATCAAAGGTTAAAGATTACAATGAAAACAACTATTACAATTACAACATTTTTTTAAGTATTTTTTTTTTACTAAAGTAAAGAAAAAAACATAAAGACAAAAGTCATACAATTAAAAAAAAAATTGAATCACTTCCAAGATTTATCGTTACAAAAATAGTTATATAACAACTGGTGCTAGGTTAAACATACAATTGGTTGTAACTCATTTGACTGTAGTGTGTCAAAGAGAAGAATAAGCTCAAAATGTTGCTGTTAGATAAGAGTTTTGTCTTTGTGTCATCTAAACTGCCACATTAGAACATCTCTTCTCAGTTAGAGTCTTTTAAAAGCCTGCTGATCTCATCACTGTAGAATATCACAAATATTAGCAACTCTACTTATCACCACACAAATATTAGTATCATATATATATACATATATTTCCTTTTGAAAGAGAAAAATATTTAAAATACGATTTTTACTATTTTTAGTTTTATGTACAGCAATGACAATTTTCAACTTTCATGTATGAAATTTGGATTCAATAATCTATAATACTGTAGCAAACAGTGATTACAATCTAAATGTAGTTTGACACGTTTCAATAGATTATATTTTCTGTGACCAAATAGATAGTAGTAGGACTGTAGATATGAGAACTACGTTTTTGTTTGGGTTTTGTACAACCGACTTTGCCATCAAAGCTTTACCAACGTGTGTATAATGTATTATTACTGTTGTATTTATATTATAGCGTATTGTAGATTATGTTTATTTGATGTTTTGAACAAATTTTATATATAGTTTTTTGTGGTGAATGGATGAGTGAATGTCAGAGTGGTAGTTTTTTGGTTACATTTTCTGACAAGAGGTCTTTCATTAATAATGAATTTATCTCAATACAAACAATAAAATTATTAGCTTAAAAACGAAACACTTAGCCCATGTATATATGTGTATTACCACAACCCCATTAATTTGAAAAGGTTTTGGTCTATTTATAAAGATGATATTTACATATTAATGCTTATTTGATAGGTGTATTGTTTTTTTAACATTGAGCAATACTAAGACAACTCACAAGGTTTATTGGATATTTTATAGTTAAAAATGAATACCCTAAAAATTAGGACGTCTGAGAGATGGTTATTTTTAGAACAAACGAAAATTTTATTACAAATTGTAATGTTACTCATCTACGGATATGAGATTTTGATCATGGATTTGAATTCAGGATGAGTGTAGAACGGAATGAGATGATCTGTGTGGCTTTCTTTGTTAGTGATTAAGATTAACTGGTTCCCATAATTAAAAGTGACTCGCTACCTAGATAACATGAAGCCCCCCTAACCACAAGTCAGCTACCCTGCTTACTAGATGTCATCTAGGTCTATAGTATGTGTGATGGAACCTATCTCTTGTTCTCCATCTCTGGGCCTTATACCATTGACCTGTAGACGGAGGGTCAGGAGACAAGTCCCAACAAACATACCATAGCTTCGAACCATCGTAAAGCTGCTCTAACTCACTCAGGCTTGAACCAGTGACCCTCTGATCACAAGGCGAGCATTATAACCACTCAGCTACCCAGCAATCCAAAGATAATCAACTTTTTTAATAACCGAAACTGTCGTAACTCAAATAAAACAAACCTTGTGAGTTATGTTTTTCTTTGGTTGGACCTTTAGTTGCAATGGTGCAAAGTGAATAAAAATACCTTATGTCAAAATAAAACTAAAACTCACATTCTTAGAGGGAAAAAGATATTGCAATTATGCATTTTTAAGAAGCTAGTTATTTATTTTCTTTAAAAAGTGAATCAATCTATTTTACAGAATTTCTTCTGTTAGTGCTCTGAGCTCCCATGACATAGTGTGTGTGTGTGTGTGTGTTTGTAACTTGACTGAACAAGTCAATTGATCTCTGAGAGAGTGAGTGGGTCAGGAAGCAGGACTGTCCAATAGTTGTAGTCGAGTCAATTAATATGTGTCACTTGTCAGTTGATTGCCGCTGTCAACAGGTATAGAACGTGTCAATTGGTAGCGGAATGCGCATACGCACAACTCCCCCAACTACAGTAATCTCTACATTTGATTGACGTTGGATTAATATAACAAAACTAGCGTCCAGTCTTGTTGGGAGTGTTTCCCACTTCTCTATCCCTACACGCCATCCTAATTGACATGTTCTTGTAGCTGGCAGAGGCCGTATTGTAGTTGTATCCAAATGCGTTCCAACCCTGTAAAATCACTGCCATCCACGAATCACAGTCCTGTTTCATAACTGACTGTACTATTGCCAGAAATAATAATTTAAGAAGATATTTTTACAAAGATTTTAACCAATATTTGTTATTATATTTGCAGTTTAGTTTTGTATTTACGATTAATTTTGTTTATATCGAAGAATAATGTTATTAAATAGTTGTTATAATAGTATGTTATAGATTAGTTAGATTCCAAGAGAATGTTGCTTTTTACAGTTTGGTACTTAAATAGGGGTGACAAAGCGCTCCATTCTCCATCAGACCTGCTGTAATCTAATCAACTTAATGAAAATCTCAGTTGTACGAGCTAAAAAATATATTATTTTTCATTTAAGTTTAATGGTTTGGTTTTCCCTATATTAATTGATTTTTTTATCTAATTAGCTTTCCTTTTTCTACCTTACCTGAAATAAGCTACTACAGTTGACCTACATATTTCTATGTTATGAGTTTATTTTATTAGATCACACTATAAACGTTAGTGAATTATTTTGTTGTTCTAAAACTTCTTTGAAATTAACTGAATATTAGTTTTTAGTTTTGACTTGACTGTTGAGTTATTAAAATTTGTACTCTTAAATAAAAAAATTTTTTTAGATTTTTTAAGGATCATATTTGGTAGGAAACTGTAACTCAACACCAATATTGTTCATATTTTAGATAGTTGGGACGAGAATGATGCTGAGTACATGACTAGAGAATATAACTGTTTGAGCAAAGATTGTCAGTCAATCACAGATACTGTATTTTATATCCTCATAATTAAAAGTTTAAAAAAATTGAGCTATATTTGTCTGTTCTACTGAAGAGTGAGCGAGTCAGATTCTAAGATGATCTGGCACCTTTCTAAAGGTCTGAAAGTTTTTTAAATAACATTTTTCTGCAAGATAATTGATTGCATAAAATTTCAAATACTAGCAGGTTTGTTGGCAGAGTACATTGTGTTATTATTTATAAGGAGTTTAATTTCTTTGATGATTTCCAAACACAAATAAACTTTGTACAAAGTAATTTGTATTTTTTTTACCTCTTGACTTTATGTAGCTATGAAGCTAACTTTCCATTCTTATGATGAAACTGCTAGTTTTCGAGTAAAAATAACTTAGTTAAATTAAGCCATTTTTTGAATGGGTGGCTGTAAAAGAGTTAACCTACGACTGTTTTTTAAAGTAGCCGTTTCAGTTCAGTTTTCAGTTCATAGAATTAAAAAGTTTCCTGAAACAAAACAGTTTCTACTTGTTAAGTAAAAAAGTTGTTAAATCATAGCAGCATAGTTTTACTCATAACAACACGGGTAACGGACCAATGAGGTTCAAGGATTGAGAGAGAAGAAGTAAAGTTTTTATGATTCGTACTTCAACTAATCGGCTGTTCAGGCCAATTTAATTGTTGAGTGGTGCAATAATTAGTGGTTGGTACAGTGTTTTGTTGCATCACTGTCAGTGGTAAAGAGAGGTTATAAACTAAAACATAACCTCTCTTAGAAGTTATGAGTAGTGATTTTTTGTAATTAAAACACTGTCATAGGTAAAGTAGTGTACACAACTCACGTAAATAGTGTTAACGACACAAGTAGAAAATTTAAGGTACGATCCTTACTATTCGTGCATACATCAACTTTTAACCATTCTCAACTGAAAGGTACAACTTAGTGTAAACTACTGTAATTCCTTTTTCTCATAGAAACTAAAATATAATTTATACCTCAACACTATACCATTCAAAGAGGGACTAAATCAACTTTAATTTATGTAATTAAATCCCATTCTCATCCAACAATGTTCTCCTTAGGTAAAGGCTGGTACATAATAGTATATTTCATATCTAGGGTGTAAAGTGACTCTTTTCAGCCCTTACTCAAGTTTTACAATCAATGCGATGCCCAGGTTGTAAAATGATTGAGGGTTGAAAAGACACTTTTTGTCCATATGATGAACTATATTTTTTAAGTTTCAAAATGAATATGTTTCACATATAGAAAGATAACCCCTAAAACGATCTCCAACTTGTTTACAATTTTACAATGCAAACAAGTGTGTAGTAAGTGTTTAGGAAGTGATTGAATTATTTTTTTTTTACAACTGTGTTAGTGCACAAGTTACATTATGCTACTGACATGTGAATCTATTGACAAAAAGCTGCAACCAATAAAGCAATCGATACATACTTTTAGTACATGCGATTACCGTATTGAACAGCTGACTTTTACTCCCTGGGGACTAAAAAGGCTTTTTACTCCCTGAGGAGTAAATGAGACACTTTAGATCCACAAAGCATGCATTGAAAACGGCTGTTTTTTACAGTATGAAGAAAAATGGATTTGTACTACAGTATGTTTTTAGTTAACTTGCTGTAACTTTTTAAAACGATCAAAGATTTCTGATTTGACATTTTAAAATTTGAATAATATTGTTGTACGGCTTTCAGTTGGGTAATTCTACAGTACAGAGAAATATGTTGATTTATCAGTGACTTGATGAATCAGTTGTTGATATGAGCCATTGGGTTGCAGCATTGTCTATATTGCAAATAATAGTAACTATATTACATCACTAGGGCGTAAAGTGACTCTTTACAACCCAAGCTCAAGTTTCATCAAGAGTTCCATCAGGAAAATAAGTGAATGTTGAAAAGTTTTTTGGAACGTGTGATTAACTATATTTTTTTGTCATATGGCAACATTACTTAACTTATATAACTTGCTCTATTATTCCCGTTATTTAACAAATTGACCTCTACTATGCACCAGACAGAACTATTAATAAAATTGGCTTCAGCTGTTCCTTAAGGACATAGACAAAAATAATTAAATATAGACTGTCTCTCTGCTGCAATTACCATGGTTACTATAGGTCCTGGCGCACACCGCTGGAAGCGCCGTGTAGTTCCGTAGCGCTTACGCCGTAACTACATGGTGCTCCCGGCGGTGTGCGCCAGAACCTATGGTAACCGCAGCACTGCTGTCAGTATATTTAACACATTCGCTGCTGAAAACCTTTAAACAGGCGCTCGCCAATTGCGGTGAGGCCCGGGCGGAGCCCCGACGCGCTAACTGAATCAGCGATCGCTATTGGTATTGAAATATCTCAGTAAGACGAATCACAAAAGAGCAGTGGTGATTGTTCTGCGTTACTTCGAAAGTGGACGTAGTTCACTGAAACACCCAAAGGTAGCAGCACTGCCTGGATCAATAACCAGAGTCTTTGTAATACGGCTCGAACTGAGAAAATCCCCGAAAACGGGACAAAAGCATTGCCAGACGGGATTTTACGGGAAATTTTTGTACCAACCTACACCAGAATAAAGCTCGCATTATAAGCTACAGGCTGGTAAAGATTACAACGTTCCCCCGACAATGGCTGAACCACACTGATCCGGCAAACAATGCAAAGCGCTCCCCCACCGGTGGACCCGCCGCATCGAATGTGTTAACCCTTTTTGTCTATGATAATGATTAGAAATCTATTTGGGGACTGAGTATTTTAACTATGGTTTACCATGAGACCTATGGCAATAGCGTATTCCTTATATTGTAAATTCGCTAATACTCCCTATGTGAGAAGTTTGCTAAAATGTCAATTTCATAGAATCGGTGTTGAATCAGAGCTGAATACTAATTTAATTCTACAGCATCACAAATTACTTGCTTTATATTTTATTTTAAAGTAAAACCTTAAGAGATAGAGTTAAAAAAAATACCTAAGAAAATAGTCCAGGGCTAATGCCATAAAAGGATGCATAACTTTAAACTGATTTAGTCCTATTTTAAAAATAGTATGACTTAATCAGTATCCTCAGAGAGTAAGTTTAAAATAAAGTCAACAAACACAGAATAACAAGAGAAGGGGCATGCCATTCAAATTATCAATACAAATGTTATTGCCAAAACCACCCATCTTGGTTGGTGTTAGCTCATGAAAATTGGTGACTTCTACCCTCCCTGTGCCACTTCTATTGTTATTCTGTATTCGATTGATAAAGTTCAAAACTAGAGTAGTGGCCTCAAAGGTCTTGTCTCCAAGAGTTAACAAAGAATGAGAAATATACATTGTTGTAGAGGTACATCTAGGCTGTAAAAAAATGAATCAGTATAGGTTTCCAAATTACAGAAACTTAAGCTTTTAATGTTTTATTAAAACCTTCATAAAATATTGTTTACAAAAAATGTATAGTATAAAAATATTTCATAGCCTTAACAGTTATCATATTCTTTATACTGTATATCTGAACTGCCCTTCAGTTTGGGCCGTATGGTCTGCGTAGGATTTGAAAGATAGTTAATTACCAAAGAATAAGTTATAAACACGGCTGTAAACTACATGGCAAGCAGTGTAAACATTTTAAAAAATATACCCAACAATAAATTACAAAAATTAATTTTCAAGTTGGCAATACTGGCACAATTATTAAGAAAATACGATAGGTAATACTTTTAGAAATACATATATACAAGATGAGATGTTAAAAATGCATTGAAACTATGGCGTGTCCCCCTCCCCCATTTCCAAGACCCTGGACACACCTATAATTGAGACTTTGGTGGGCAAACCTCGCAAAACCCATTAAAATAGCTACATAAATACAAATTTAAAAAACAATCAAATTTTGATTGCCAACCCTAACTACATCAGCTAACAGAGCATTACGGAAATTAACATTGTGATACATAACAAAACTAATATTTTAAAAACACTAACAATCATAATGTTTTTAAACAAAAAAAATTATATTGATAAAAATTTAATAGGTAATATTTTGGTTGGTGTAAACAATCCTAACTAACAACATAGTAACATACATGTAAAAAATATTTAACATGAAAATATCGACTAGGTATTAACATAAAACAATAATTAATTGATATGGCTCGTTAAAATAAGTAATATTATATACAGTACTGTTAAAAAAATACTTTCTATCATAAATTTGTTTGCAATTTTACAAATTTGCCACCAAACCTTTTTGCGGCCTATTTGACAAACTATTTCCCACATTATATGACTTAAAAAGAAGTTTTATCCAGATATTGGACAAGTTTGTGTAAATTATAAATATTTTTTTTTATTACAATTATTGTTTTGCTATACTAAATATCTTAAAATAAAACTTTCAAGAAATATTATCATCTACTGTAACATAAATCAGGTCGTGAAATAACAGAAACTAAAGCTTGTATTATTTCATTAAAAACTTCAACACAAGACAAAATATTATTTACAAGATAAACGAATGGTATAAAAATAGTTCATAGACTCAACTTATTTCGATAAAACTTAACTAATTGTAATAATGGACCTTATGCAGAATTCTAAAGACAGTGAAGCACCTCTCATCCATTTGGAACATTCATGTACGGGCTCTTGTTTGGGCGTCCCAAATTTTGGTAACTTGGATTGGAGAAGCCCAACGCTTGAGGAACGTTGACATAGTCATTGCCTAAAACAACAGAAGCAACAGTCAGATCAAGCTATAGCTGTTGTGTGTATCTTATTTTCTTTAGTCCGAATGGCTTGGATTTGATTTATTCCCAAACTCATAGAAAAGAATATACGGGTGTTTTTTTTTAAAAACTTGCATCTTTATTTATGTAAAAACCGCAATAGATAGAAATATGCAGTTTGCGGGAATCATCTATTGACGTAGGGGGCCCAACTTTTTTGAATTCAACGTTACATTCACATTCCCTCCCTTTCCTCCCCCTGCCACCAACTTAATTTTTTTAAATAGCAAGGTACCCCTTGTGACATATCAAATGAAAGAGCATGAAAAAAGAAAATGTTTGATGAAAAAAAATTGAAAATCGGTTCATAAATTTGCGAGATATTTCCACCCCCCCCTCCCCGGAACTTAATTTTTTTTAATAGCAAGGTACCCCTTGTGACATAACAAATGAAAGAGCATGAAAAAAGAAAATGTTTGGTGAAATTTATTTTTCAATTGATATGTCACAAGGGCGGGTACCTTGCTATTAAAAAACATGTTATGGGTAGGGGAAAAGGGGGGGGATTATCTCACAAATTCAAGAGCCGATTTTAAAATTTTTTTCACCAAAAGTTTTCTTTTTTCATGCTCTTTCATTTGATATGTCACAAGGGGTACCTTGCTATTAAAAAAAAAAAAAAATAAGTTCCGGGGAGGGAGGGGAGGAATATCTCACAAATTTATGAACCGATTTTCAATTTTTTTCCATCACACATTGTCTTTTTTCATGCTCTTTTATTTGATATGTCACAAGGGGTACTTTGCTATTTAAAAAAAATAAGTTTGGGATAGGGGGGAAAGGGGGGGAATGTGAATGTAACGTTGAATTCAAAAAAATTGTGCCCCCTACGTCAATAGATGATTCCCGCCAACTGCATATTTCTATCTATTGCGGTTTTTACATAAATAAAGATGCAAGTTTAAAAAAAAAACACCCTGTATATATGGGGACGACTAATAGTGCAATACAACGCTAAAGCCTTGTGTCGTATCCTGTACCAGGCGACAGCTAAAAGTTTGATCCTCTAATATTAAGCTCTAGCAACTGTAGGGTGGGGAAATACGAAAACAGAGCCTACTCAAGTAAGTAAATTGATTAACTAAAACTAAGTATACAGGGGGTTCTAAAAAGGTGGCGACATAATTTACATTGTGATTCCTTGGTTCAAAATAAAGAGAAAATCAAGAATAATATTTTTTCTTGTAAAATAACAGAATAACATGTTTATGTAAACAATTACAAAATGGCGGATATCTGGTTAAGGAAGAGATTTTAGAAAACATTTTATTCTTGATTACCTCTTCATTTTGACCTAAGGAATCTCTACGTAAATTATGTCCCCATCTTTTTTAAACACCCTGTTTAAAGATTTAGGGGCAAGAAACTCTTTTATTATTTTTTTATTTTTACTGCAAGTAAGGGTTCAAAATAGTTGTTGATTGATGGAAAGAGGGAAATGATCAAAAGGTAGAAAGAAAGGAATTAAAGTATATTCACACTACTGTATAACTCTGTAACTAATCGGGATCAATCAAATTACAAATGTTTTCTAGAAGATGTTTTTTAAGAGCGAGGGATTTGGTTTCAGAACTATATTAACTGCTAGGGATTTTCAACATTGGGCTTGCAGGTTTTTTTATACTTTTGTTCACTAAATTTAGGCGGTTTTTAGGGGAAGAAATCTATCCTCTCCACTTGATACTATAGCTTTAAAACAATAGCTCAACATCTGAGGTTTGCCAAAACACAAAAAAAAAAAAAACAGTGGTGAGGGGACTTCCTCTTAAACCACCTAAATTGTGTAAACAGACTACAGTTCAGTAGTCATTGTGAAAAACTATACAGTACAATAAATTAATAACATTAAAAAAACATTCATGGCAAAACAATTTTAAACTCAAACTATGAAAAGGTAAATTGATATTGACAATTGACAAGTTTTATTTTTAACAATTGTTTTTATGGGAAAATCAATACGGACTTTGTAGTTAGCACATTTATTTAAAAAAATGATCTCTCCCACTCAGCTTTAAACAAAAATTGTTCAGTTATATTTTCTCTTAAACTATTTGAGTATCTGGTTTGGTCCAAAATAAGCTACTTTCAATATAAGCTAAACTAAAAAAAAGCTTCCTTTGAAATTCTAGTTCTGATTGTTAGTACTACTGAAAGTAACTTAAATTAGCTGAGTTTACGTTACTTGTTAAATTGTTAAACAAACATTACTAACACTTTATGTTTAGCGTCAAAATAACATTGCAGTTCTATTAGACAACTTTAAAATTAAATGTTACAATATGATTCCGATTCCAGTCGTGATCTAATTGCGCTCAAGTTTAGTGGTGACTTTGTAAGTATTATAATACGTTCTTGCTGTTGTTGTTTTCATAAGACATTACCTGGTAAGTAAATTTATTATTCCTGTGCACTAAACACTAAACATTCAACAAACTTCAGGATTGGGAAAATAAAAGAACATTTCAGAACAACAAATATTTTAAAAAGATGAATAAGCAGAGAAAAGCAATGGCTACAAAGATTATTAGTTTATTTTTTAGTGATAATAATAATAAGCAAGGTGTAAATGAATAGTAAGGAGAAAGAAGACTAGTACAAGCTAGTACTTAGTAATAAGCTAATTTAAATGTGTGTATTAATTAGCTAAAACCCATCCAAACAGATGAGATAATAGCTATTTACATTACAAGTGTAGTAAGAGCGCTTTAACATCACACAGGTGAATGTTGTGCAGCGAGCGGAAGCGAGTTGCATAATTCACTTAAGTGATGTAAAAACGCTCTTGCGTAACGAGTAACGTACAAGATTTTACCTGACCCGACAATATACAGGGGGTTACGTACAATATTTTTCATTATCCATTTCACTCATCTTCTAACAGTAACGTTATTTGACAAACAAAAGCTAGGTTAGGAAAATACTTTAAAGCATAACAATAAAATTCAAGCACACAGCTGATTTCTAGCGTTGAACGTCGTTGGATCCATAGAGGTATATTTGAGCTCTCAATATGGGTTTCATTACTTCACCGAGTGAGTTTTTGAAACTTTACTCGTGAAGTAAAGAAGTTGTATACATCACGCTTGGGATAAGGAAGTTTAACATGGCGGGTTAGGTAAATAAGTTTAAGAAGAAATTGTAAGAAACTGTTAAATGGTTTGGCCGTCATGTACCATATGGTACCAAATTCTTTGGACTACCTATTGATAAGTATGTAACAGTATTTGTTTCATTTTTAACGTTTTTGCAGCATGAATATGCTCACTGAGAAAATTAAGGAAGATCATAAGTGGGCTATGATATTTGACATTTAATTCAATTTTTGTCCTCCAGTGTTCCCAGGGCCGGATTTAGCATTTTTGCGCCCCTAGGCCCAAAACTATTTTCCGCCCCCTAGTCTGGTCACAGTTACTTTCTTTCAAACCTTTATTAAAAACTATATCACGACCATAGGCTTAAGTTAATTGCTTGAATATCACTCTTCGTCGTAATCGTTGCATTGCAAGTTTTTTTTTTAGAATTGACTTGTTTAGCATTAACAAAATGTCGTCTTAAACACTTTTAGCAAATTTATGCCTATACTAAATGCTCACATTTGTGGCCGTATGGCCGCCGTGGGACTCAACTGAAACAAAACAACTCAACTCACTGAGCATTCATGCAAAAAAAAAACATGGCCATTGATTCCAATTCAGGGTCAAAAACATGAACTCCATACAGTACGTGATACCATAGATTAAACATACTCCTTTAGTAGATTTGTCATCGTTTTGGATTAGCCTAGCTGAAAACAATTCTTTTTATTTAAGGAGTATGTTTTATCTATATTTAAACCTAGTTTATCCAAAATAAAACAATCTAATCATTAAAAATAGGTCGTCTCTTGTTTATATTAAAAGAAATTAAAACCCACATCATAGAACTAACCCTAAAATAATAGAAACAAAATTACGTGATAACTATAACATCAAGTGTCACCAACATAAACTAGACATTGACAAATTTTGAATTAACAATGTCATGAGAAGTCGACTTGAGTGAGTTACATTTAACCTATGGTTGTACTGCATCTAGGCTTTGACTATTCAATGATCTAGGTTATATTTCCAAAGCAAAACAGAGCAATATTCCGGCCAACAATACCGATCCTTAGGTCTGAGGAGAAAATTACAGCATTAATGGTGCTTTGAAGGGTATTGCATTTTTCTAAAATCTAATGCAAACTGAAATTAATATTTTTTTGTAAATTTTAAAGGTAAATTCATCGTTGTTTTGATATTCAACACAACCTATTATATATTTTTATTACTTAATAGCTTTTGTTTTGTGAAGTGAGGGTGGTAACAATGTCTACCACGCATGCGCCCCTAATCACTCTGATCAGATAGTACCGAGCCCGAGCCAGCATACTGCATAGTGGCAATGCAGTGGCAATGCAGTGGCAATACGATGCGTACCGCTAGGGCGCTCGTCAACGTCAACATCCCTACAGCCTACTCCCGTATAACCGGTGTTCGCTCACAATTTTGTAACGAAATTGATGCGTAGTTCTGGAAAATAGTTTAAGTTTCCTAACAATTATTTCTTCTTATGAACCTCAGAATCACAACGCTTAAACAGGCAGTTTTTTTATCAACTAAGACTATTTATTTTCATTTTTAGATATAAAAAAATCCTCTCGGTCGTGCGCCCTCTGGGACCTTGCGCCCATAAGGGAAATCCGGCCCTGAGTGTTCCTTCACTTTGGGAAAATTCATGGAAATGAATTCGATTCCTGGGAATTTTAAAGAAAATTTGAGCTCAGGATGAAATACTAGTCAATCTGAAATACTAAAATCATTATAGGCATAAGTTTGATAAGAATAACTATAATCTACAGTAACACCCCAACTAACTGAAATAAAGAAGTGAGGTTTATCAATGATTAAATTTCAAGGCTATTTTGCTTTTAAGAGAGTTAAGATTTTTGTTTTATTTTATTTTAACATCTTTTATGCATGCTCTAATATAGGAATATATTAGTTTTATTAATTTTGGTCTAGTTGCCACGTACGGCCACCATGTAACGGCATAATATCGTACAATTTTTAATAAATGAGATTCGCTACAAAACATCATTTCTGATCTCCTCTCTACCTACATCCTAACACTGTTCATGTCCGTCCATCTCTTCATCACAACCTACAGCAGTGTCCAACCCAAGCAACCTGTTTGTGGCTGTGTCAAAGAAATGTAAACTGTTGTAATTATTCCGTCCACTTACCCCGAGTCCGATAAAGTTGTAAGTGTAAATCACGAACACAAGATATACAATCCACGACTTTTGGAAATTGATTTTAAAAACCTATTGTTTTCTGATCTTTTTCTTCACTGCATTTGTCACAACTCAGACTAACCGGCCTACTACCCGCACCACAGCAAACAGTTTCTTTGCCTAAAAACTTTCTAATTTATTTAAATATTTATTATGGTTTTGGTTTAACGGGATGGGGTTAAAAAGTGTTTTACTGTAATTTGTTACACAACAAAATTATAGCAATCGATTCATTGTTATTCTCTGGTTAGTTGCATACTATGTTATGGTGAAACAGAAAGCATCGATTCTTTAGTGACCACAATCCAGTGACAAATACATGTTAATTTTTTAGCAATCATCCCCGCTTACCTCTTGTGGATAGATTGCTTAACTTGATGAATAGCAGAATCTAAAAGTGAAAAATAACCAATTGAAAATAGTTAATGAAGAGTAGAAAACTAAAGCTAGGAATGAGTTAACTAGGGTCTGCAAAACAATGTACTTGAGGTAGGAACAAATATTTCTAGTTCATGACTTAATGTTGAACAACTTGTTGCTGATAACCTTGAATTCTGATTGTGTCAGACATATGTACAGTTCACATGTCAAAAAGTTCCTCCTTCAAGAGCAGTCTTTCGCAGACTCTAGTACTGTATAGGCCTAAGCTAGCAGCAAGATGAATTTAGCACGTGTCCAAAACCTTCCGAAACCTTAAAACTATTATTTCGCAAAAGTCTTTAATTAAACCTGAAAACATTTTTTGACCAAATATTTACAAACTATGAATATATTTACAGAACATTACAAGCCAAACAAAATATCAGCTTGGTCATCCCACACACTTACACTTACACTTACACTTGCATCCCATTTTACTATATATTAACAGTGACAATGGCTATTTTGGATCTTGATAATCCGTCAGATATGGGACCTACAGGTTGTCAGATTAACAAGAATTCTGGATTACTAAGCGTATAATGCTTAATGAGCAGAAGGAAAACTACCATAAAAAACTGCTTTATGAAGATACAGAATAAGATATTGTTTACAATATTTAAAAACATATAGTTTTAACTTACATGTATTTATACTTTAAACAAATCAAAAACTCACAAGAGATAAAAAGTACTGTACTGCATATCTAAAAGTCAAGAAGAGGATTATTTACTTCTTTAGATTATGTGATGACACTCGTTCTTTTAAAAATATTTTTGTTTGACCATTGTGTCCAAGTTAACATCATGCTCTTGAGTGTAGCGAATAACAGCAGGAGCCGACATAGAATTGAAATACTATACTGCATAGTAATCATTTCCCGTCTAGCAACAGGTACAAAATCTACGTTACATCTGACATGATTTCCGCAAAGTTGTCGGATTGCCAAGCTTGTCTGACTGGCAAATGTTGGATTATCAAGACCAAACTGTATTGAACTCTCCACTATTGAATTCTCTTGTGCTTGACTACAAAACACAGATCTAGCATCAACACTGTACATGGTTACCTGGAGGTTTAGGCCTGACAGTGGAAGTTCTCTCTTGATCTTCATCACTGTCCGAGTCCTTGGCTGCAATAAAGTGACTCAACATAAATGCAATGTACAAAAAGCAAACTATTCGCACAACTTGTTTATACAAGTTACAACCTTTATAGCATGTTTTTTGGTAAAATTTACATCGCAAAGACACATTACACAGTGTACTATTAGAAATTTAGATTGGCGATTCAAAATCGAGAGACTTTTACTGTATTTTCAGGTTGACACCAAATAGTGGTGGCATTTAGGTGATTGAATATATTATAATACTATGATATTCATCAATATTTTTTGAATACCTCAACTATATACTTAATCAAGATATGCTCATAAATAAATGTGAATTGTTCATAGGCCTATTTTGTTGATTCCAAACACTAATATTTTTGTATTCAAAGATATTAGAAATTGTCTCATTTTTCTCTTACCAAGAAGTATATTTTTTAAATAAAGAAATTAGAACAGGTTGGTTCGGTTCTTGGTACACAATACTATAGGTGATGGGTAAAATACAAGGTTAAAAAGAAGACTCCTCCAACCTCTTCTAGTAAAAGAGTCCTAAGTAGGTACAGTATATAAGAAGAGAAAATTTTATGATAAGACACGATAGTAAGAAATGTGCAATTGATCAAACAAAGAGATGAGATTACCAGAAGGAAAACTGATAATATGATAAGAACATTTGTAGCCTATTTTGAAATTTAAACCTTTAGTCCCGATTAGTGTTGACCATTCTCTTTGAAAAAAAAAATAAAAATACCCATGACATTAAACCAAACAGAAAAGAATAATCTTCACACAATAATAACAAAACAAATGAAATTAATCTTGTATAAACTACGTTCATGAATGTGTCAATAATTGGCACATTACAATATGTACAGAGTTTAGTTTGTATCCTAGTTTACTCATGTTTGATATGGTAAATTTGAAGGTAAGTCATGTTTTAATTCAACCTTCACATTGCAGACACACTAATCTAACTGTCAAGATTTTTATTTTGGCAACGGCACTAATAGTATATTTCGTACCTAGGGCCGAAAATGAGGTTTTGCCGGCTCGAGATAGTTTTTAAGTTCGAGACGAAGTCGAGAACTTAAATCGATCGAGAGCTGCAAAACCATTTCGGTCCGTGGTACGAACGCTATTTTTCACCACACTATACCCTATTACCACTATTCACCACTATAATAATGCACACTGATAGTCAACACAACTACAACTTAAAGGTTATGTGAATAAATAATTTGAGGAATCAGCAAAAATAAAAATAAATAGTTGCTAGGCAACGGCGACAATAACACAATTCTATTGCAATGTTATGGATTTTGATTGTGTATTTAAAATGCATTCATGTTTTAAGTAAGTAAGCGGACAGCTGATTTTGCGGCCCCGGCCTGTAAAAACCTGCTCGTATCTTTTCAACTCATAACACCAAACTACTTTTATGTGTTATTTGATTATAAAAAGCAAATATTAAGAATCAAGAATTTATTTCAACAAAACATGACGTAAAAACACATTTTACAGTTGATTGATGTCAAAGAATGACAATAATAATTAGGTATAAAAGCTAGTACAAATAAATAGTGTAAAGTTCCTGATTCAAAAAAATGATACAGCTAAAAATTTAAAACTAGTTAACAAAAAAGCAAAAAAATATAATAAAATAAAAATAGAAAACAAAACAACAATAGATATAACACATTACATGAAATATCACAGTAATTACAGTTAAGCATAATCAGTGACTCAAAAAGCTATAATTTGACTGGTTTAATACATCATGGTGTGCTTGAAAATGTAATATGAATTTAATAATTACAAAAATCAAAATAAATTTCATTTCTGAGGTGTTGGCTTCCAGATTACTTAACAATTACTAATCTAGAGGTTAAATAACTTGTTGCCAACGTAAAACAATGACACCAGGGGCCCATTTCATAATAAACTACAAGTTACAAGTTACAACTTGTAACTTGTAATTTCCATTAGATTTTCATTGGGCGATCAGCTGATTTACTAATAATATTAGTTTGTACTTTATTATGAAATGGGCCCCAGGCTTGACAATAACACCCATAAGTGTGTTGAAACCGATAGGCATTAAGACTACCAAGGATTACGTTGACAACAAGGTATTTAACCTCTAGATTAGTAAAATAAATTATTCCAAAATCTTATTTATTTCAAAAGAGGCCACATGCACATAATCCACCTACGTACAAGTACAATAAGGCACCTTAACTTCTTCGAAGTAATCTATCTAGACTAAAAAAACTGCCACCATTGAAACTACACTAATAGAGGTAAATTACAAATTCTTTATCAACCATAACAAAAACTTGTTAATTGCCTGCTGTCATTTTACGTAGCTTAACCGAAACCAAGGACTCATGCTTGAGACGTGTTAGGGTTTTACGAGGTGTATCAGTGTGCAATACAAATTGTTATCCAAGCCATGTAATGACAATCGACCAAACTGTGTACCTGTCTTTATTTGGAGGTTGAGGGGTGATGTTTAATGTTTCTGAACACGGCTTGGCTACAAAACATACAACACTTTATCACAGCAGCTCAATTCTGTGATCTTATCAGTATCAAAATAGGAGGATGTATCTCGCTGAACATTTATCATTTTTACAAATTGTTTTGTCTATTGTTTACAACCTAACTGTGGTTAAACATTTAACTTAAGGAACAGCTGTTAAATTACAATTAACATTTGAATTGTTATAAAGAAAGTTGGTCAGCATAACTAGATCTTTAAAAATGGACTCTAGAAATAAATTATTTGTGAGGGGGTGAAGCCCTAAAGGAAATTGCTTTTAAACTACCATTTGCAGGTGCACTAAGTCATAAACTTTAAAATGACACCTCAATAGTAAAAATCGGTTAAGTAGTACAGTTTGAAAATGGATGTAACAGAGAAACCTGTTGTTTTAAGTATAAAGATAACAAGATAGAAATTAGGCCTAAGCATAAGCTACGGTCTACAAATTAATGAACATTATTGCTTGAATAATATATGCAACTTTATATTTACAATTCAAAGCACAGAGAGATAGATAAAGACAGAAACATAGAGACACAGACAGTTTTTCAAAGGAAATGGTTACCATATTCAACTATCATTAAGAGTCCTTGGAGCCTAGACGTTCTAACTCATAATACAATTTAAAATACCCCCGTCGCAGCAAACCTGCATACTAAGCGAATTTCCATTTACCCGGCTTGATTTCTACTAAAATATTCCCTATAAATTTTCAGATTTATTTCCTATTTAAATAACATTGATTTTAGTGAGTAGTTAGGTTTGCTGCTACGGGGAAGATATTGAGGTATGTTTTTTCAATTGAAATATTGATAGCTTAGTATGAAATAAACCAAATTGCCAAATTTGATTAAAATATATCCATAAACAAGCAAACTAGAACAGTTTATTTATTCTCCATAAGAATAACATGGGAATTTTAAATTTACAATTTTTTTAATTTTCTCCGTAGTCATTGAACATTCAAAAACACTTCAATATACTAAATTATTTGTTTTTTTAAGCTCTTCAAAATGGTCTAGAGAGAAATTTAGAAATTTGAAGTTTTTAGGGTCAAAAATGAGAAAAACCCATTTTTACCCCATAAAACCCCCCATAAACCCCTGATCCCATGGTCCGATTATGCTGGTTCGCGAACTCGTTCGAATAAATGTAGGTTTACACGTTTGTACCAAATTTCATCAAAATCGGATCAATTTTGCTCGAGTTATCGCGCTAACGGACACATATATAAATATATATATATATATACACGGCCGCGCCCGGGAAGCCAGTCACATAAAATATACACTGGAAGTCAGTCAGTTGCACCCCCCAATATATTTCAAGACTATGATATATATATAATATATATTGGTAAATATCTTAAGCCTAGACATATCTGAACGTATATATCTCTTTTTTTCTTAAAAATACTAAAATATAATTACGTAAAAAATGCTATGCTAATGCAGTCACCACCGCATTTGCATGGGAAAGCCAGTCACGTAAAATTTGTGCTGCTAAGCCAGTCACTATATATTTTACCGCAGACCACTGGAATCAAGTCACTGAAAATCCACCAGGTATCCTGTCACTTCAGCCACTTTCACCCCTGCCCTTCTACTTTGTGATATTTATTTGTTCTACAAGCTTGAAAATTCGCATCTCAAACAAACGGATTATGCTTCAGGCATTGAACACTCTCATAACCAATCATTCGCACTTCATTTTAATTAGTTGTCTTCCAGATTACTTAACAATTACTATTCTATAGATTAAATACCTAAATGCCAATGTAATTTTTGGTCGTATTAATGGTCGTCCTGGCAACTGTGGATAGAAATATTTACCGAACTAATTCGCAAGCGCAAGGTGGGAAGTTATTGCTTTGTAGTCGCACAATTAGGCCTATTTTTGAGTCCTTGGAGGCAAGCGGCCATCTTGGATGATTTCAAATAGCTGCAAAATTTATCGTCCAAAAATATTTTTCAAACACCAAAGTGTTTATAATTTAAATAGCTAGTATACTGTGGGATTAGAAATGTTCTTTGTAGTTTTGAATTATTCTCCAAGGGAGTCCATAAAATAAGTTAACGGTCACGGTCATCTTGGAATGGCCAACTAATACGAAAACAATATCCTGTGTTGCGCGGGCCGTAGCACACAAATAGTTTTCCCGCCTCAAACAATCAAAGGCGCGTGGAACAAGGCAAAATTCTTATCTCTCTTGCGGCGAGAGGTCGGGGCGGGCCTAACGGGTTCCATTGAAGGGCAACCCGGCTACCGACCGACCTGGGGTAGCGACTAGCGAGCCAGTGGATGGTTAAAGGTTCTGCCGGTTATTTCCATCATTGCTGGTTCTCGAGTTTTTTTAGCTCATTGTACAGTGAAATCTTACTTCCCTATTTTATATAGCCACAATCAAAGCGATTTTTACAAGAAAGAATGAAGATATAGACTCAGTGATGTGTGGTTACTTAATTAAATCATGTTCCTTGATTGTTTACCCTTTTGTAAGAGCCAATAGTCAATCAACTTATATTTCTTTTTTTTCGATTTATTATCTATATCAATTCAAGAGGTAGCCCTGTACCTGGTTAACAAATATACCGATTACATTTAGTTTCACAATGTTTACATTTTTGAAGAATGTAGATAACAGAATGTTTAACGAAGTCAACTGTAAATGCTGTCAATGCAGTGCTTTGATTTTGCGGTCCAAAAGGTAGAAACGATTCGAATTGTGAAACTTTTAACTTTTGCTACGGGCCTGTTAATTGGAGATAGTGACTTTCTTAATTTAAGGAAGTAAACGTATTAACATGACGTGTTTGGAGTGGGATTTGAAATATGTGACGTGTATCAAACTTTTTCTCTTCAAAATCTTCTCCGATGTAAAACACAGGTACGGCAGCTAGGTTTATTAGAATTCAAAGGTTTTTAATTGTCCTCCAATGTTTAGAAATTATTTTTCGATCAAGTTGTTTAATGAATAAATAATTGTTTTGCCAAATTATGTTTCGAAACCAGGAACTAAAAATAGATCAGGAAATAGATATTTTAGTCCAGAAAACAAAGCCAATCAAATAGGCCTACGTACTTTTTAAATAAAAACACTGGTCGGATGGTTTTAACTTTGCTGTTTATTTACTTCAATAAATTTCTAATAAAAATCACCACAGTTACTAATCTATATAAATAAAATTAGAGTTTTGTCTGTACATTGCTCAGAATCATCAATTTTTAGATCATTTTTACGTTTTAAACATTCAAGAATCCGAAACAAGTTTCATCTCAATTATTCCGTTATTATCTCAATCATCAATTATTATCTCAATTCCGTTGTTGTCTATCTTCCGTCTGTCACGGTCCAAAGGCCATTTTACGCGGCCTTCTGAAAAACGAGAGTACCTATCAAGATCCTCGAACCATTTTAATGTATTCACTGGATTGGCGAAAGTGTCTTTAGCTATCAAAATATGGCCTCACTACTTTGTAAAAAAACTTACGGACGTTTAAAACCCAATTTTGTGCGATTTTTGTCAAGTTTTCTCACAATGTTTATCACATAATCATCATATGAAATAGCGAACAGCTGTTCGGATCAAGATTATTTTTCTCTAGCTGTCACTGATATGTTTACATTGAATATTGTTTACAAATACCGCAATCATTTCAGATCACGTTTCAAAAGCAAATCCAAACCAAGTTGGATTAAAACCGTTTTTCCTTACATAACGGATTAATTAACGAATTAATCGCAAGTGCAATAATGTGTAGGGTAACCGTAAATGAAAATAGAGCTTCTTTGTGTATACAATTTCTATTGAGTTTTGGGTTGATAACCGGGGAAAAGACATTGACTCAGTGTTCTATCTGCCTAAGAAACTTACATTTTTTACATAAGCGTTACCAATAGCTTACATAAAAGGTTCGTTGACGGCACTTCAATGGTGGTTGTGTGAAGTGTTTAGAGACAACTGCAGTGGGTGATTGTAACAGAGGTTTACGGATTATGCTCAAATCGTATTTCTAATGTGTCTTCTCACCGCTATGTGCTGCTCGCTGGACCATACGTCCAACAGACCAATTATCCATCTCTTGGGTTCGTAGGCCTAAACAATTATTCATAAGTTGGTACCGCATATTACTCAGTGTTCCGTACGGACAGGACAAGAGCACCTTTGATAGTGAAATTTCCAACCTGAATGTTTAATGGCGAGGTTAAGGTATAGTATTTTAACTGTATATCGTTTGGTTAGTTAGGTAAGGTTAACCTAACCTAACTAACCAAACGATATATCGAATTAAACAATCGAATAATCAATATCACTCATTTAGTTGTTTGTGCCAACAGATATGGAAGTGTACCCCTCATAGATCTATTACGCATTTTTTTTTACTTGAAACTGTCAGATACTGTATTTGTTTGTATATAATAGTTTGGCCAGCATATCTGAAAATATGCAAACCAATAGTTTTTCTTTATTTAGGAAGGTTTCAACTGACCACTAGAGGATCCCCGTGCGTAGAACGGGCACACAGCTAGTAATTAATATTTAATTAATACATCTTATCTTACTAATATTATAAATGTGAAAGTTTGTGTGTTTGTTTTTTTGTTTGAAGTTCAATCACGCATTAACTACTGGCACAGAAAATATACTGTTTTTGATTTATAAATAATTTGTCATATTGTGCGAATCTTTGGTGATTTGCTTTTTTCTGCTGTTTAGGTGCAGTGGTAGAACATTATTATGGATATGGTAGATGTTTTATACTATATTATACCGTAAATTAAAGAAAACCCAAATGTTCTCAATACGTGTCCTCCAGCGTTGAATTTTTTTTACGGGTTGAGGCCATTTGCTGGTTACAATATTTAATTGTTTTGTCCAATGTCCGAAATGTAAAAACATGACATTGCTATCCCACACGTCAACTTTTCGTGTCATTTTTGGGACAAATACTAGATAGAGGGTTAACTATATAAAATTAAGTGTGATTAG